CTGTCACACCTCAAAATTTAACAGTATTGCCATTTGCAAACTGAGGAGGAGACAGATTTGCCCTTACAGTAACCTGAATAGTCCCCTATTCAGTAATAATAATTAGTAAATTAATTACTAATCTACTAATAGTGTAATAGTAATAGTGTAGATATTTGAGGAAGAAGAGCAAAGATCTGTTTTCTATAGGATTGCTGCTCTTGTCATCATTACTTGGTGTTGGTTTTAAGCGGTATAATTTTCATGATGTAATTTATATTAAGATTCTCAGGAGCAGTTACATGGAAACAACTTGGTCTGACCTTTCTGCTAAAAAGGAACCATGTTGTAGATCTATGTCTAAGAAGGTCTCTCCTTCAAAACACTTTTAGTCCTACATGTAACCATTTAGCATGTTTCAGATGGTGTCCTAACTTACATTTAACTTGCCTGTAAGCTGGCTTTTACGGTAACAAGTGTTCCTAGACTAAATACTGTGTGACTGTAATAAATGTAAAGCTGTGATCAGAGGAGACCCACAGCACAAGCTCAGATGGATATAAAAATACACTGGAAGAATGAGTGGGATTAACTAATGTTATTTTTGAAGGTACTTTTTTTGAGAAATCCTTCACTCCAGTGACATCCATTTTGCCTGTTGTCACTACCCTGAGGGATGCTGTCAAAATGAGACAGACCATAGCTCTAGACAATCAGAATTCTAAATGTACAACGTTCATGTTACCCTGTCTCTAAGCAAAAAGTGATAAGGAATCGTAACTACAACTGCAGTGAAGAAAGATTGTCTTGATGCCACTTTGATTTAATTATCTCAGCATCCTACATATTCAAGTAAATTAATTGTTGTCTGTATAAATGGGAGTAGCACCTAAATACTAGATGATGCCAAATGCCCCATGCCGTTGACATCTCTTACCATCTTTGACCAAAAATAAATGTGAGCAGCAGGAAAGGAGGAGATAGCTTTCTGACTAAAGAATTACAAAAAGCAAGCTCTGCTTTGCACGCAGGCTGATCAGGCATGCGAACTCGGTGGGCTTACGTGCAGAAGTAAAAAAATTTTCAGTCTAAATTTTTTATTTCTCTAGACCTAAAACTTGGTAAAAAAGTTAATGAAGGTAAAACGAAAGAAGTGTACGAGCTGCCAGATATCCCGGGATGTGTTCTCATGCAGTCAAAAGACCAAATAACAGCGGGAAATGCAGCCAGGAAGGACCGAATGGAAGGGAAGGCTGCCATTTCCAATACAACAACTAGCTGCGTGTTTCAGTTACTTCAAGAAGCTGGTACGTATTTTAAAGGTAGAATACGTGCCTGTGTGTTACAGATACTGATACAAAACAGTTTTGTTTCTATATGTTGGCTTATTCTGCCTTGAGGCTGTGATGGGTTTTTTGAGCGTCTCTTCTATTATTTTTTAGTTACACTTTTCCCTCTGGCACTACAGAGCTGGGTGGGCTGCTTGTTGCTTTGGAACATGGGACTACCTGAAGTAATCTAATCGCAGATAACGCTGCAATAGTTTCTCCTGCTTCTTTGGACACATCCCTAATCCTCCCCTCTACTTTGATCAGTTCCTTCCTACTCCCGCGCCCCCTTGTCTGTAATACCAGACTGGATGCATCTTGCCGTTCTGACTGCATCTGCCTGCACAGAAGTCACTGCTCACTAGTGGCACTACCAGACTATGTCTGAGCTGTGTGAAATTTATGTATGAATGTTAAAAGATAAAATTAGTCTTTTAAGATTGTTTTTCTTTTCCCCTCTGTGTGTCCTATGTCAGCATAAAGTTTTTGTATGCTTTGTACTTAAACACTTTGAGGACTATATTGCAAATGCATCTATCGGTCTGTATTGAATGTATCAGAAACTTAATTTTTACTTTAAAAGACTCGATGTTTCTGGCACTAGAAGCGAGCTTTCATGGAGTACATACCTAATTTGCATCACTTGAGTAAGCTTTGCTCCACGCTTCTGAAAATGGAGACGGTATCTTTGCTTTGACAAAGCATTTTGAAGTGTCTTTGAGAAATTTGCAAGTTGCAAAGAGGGATTTCCACTGGTGGGTTTCTAACTTGAGTCTGCAAACTATAATACAGGCACCAGTAAACTTGGTTAAGACTTCTTGTAGCTGTGTGCTCAGTGCACTTTGTGAAGCATTAGCACAGGTTGCTTCAAGTACCAGCTGAGTTACTCTAAAAGTTGTATTATCTTTTACAAGATGGAGTAATAGTTCTTAGTCAAATGGTAAAGTCCCAGCATGTTTCATGTGCGGGAAAGAGAAATAGGGTTTCTGTAGAGTTGTATCTACCTATATTTCTGTGCAAGTAGTTCTTAAAATATGGGCTGATACAAAGAAATACCAAGTCATTCGGTCTAATCCTTATTCACTGGATTTTTTGGGGAAGCCTATTGTGTATGCAGTCCAAAGAAGCTTCCAAGGTCTCTCGATTTATATTTGTAGTTTATTAAAATTACCATTTTTTTCATTTAGGAACAATTAATGAGATGTCTTGCTTAATTTATAAATGGCAGTAGTTAAGATAATCAAAATATTTAACATCCTACAGATGGGAACTTTAAATGTGAGGAAGCCATGCTGTGGACCTCTCAAAGATCCTTAAATGGCTTGTACTCAGTAACTTCAGGTGCAGTGAAAAAATAAGCAGAGTAGACTGCAGCTGCACTTTAAAGCAACAAAAGAACTTTCAGGGTTCTTCTCCAGTTTGCTTATTTGACTGGCATAAATTGCAGATAATGTGAATGCCTTATCGTAAGAAGTAGTTTGTTTTGCGCAACTTTTAACCTACTCTTTCAAAGTGATGATTTACAAAGTTCTGTTAAAGTTTCTCTCTCTTTTATAATAGAGCTAATGTCAGCCCTTCAAAAACATTCGTCTGCGCTGATGAAAAATGTAGTGGTAAACCATGCAGGGACTTTAATGCCTGGATTTAGAAGTGACTTAATGTGTAGTTGATTATTTAAATCATTATGCCCTTGAGGGCATTGCAACAAAATCTTAAGGGTCAATGTTAATACTGTATTTTAAGACTTTAATTCTTCCTTTATGGCTCTGGAAGTGGAATGGAATAGAGCTACTTCTTGGTTTGACTTGATGAAGGTCCTTTGTCTTCTGTTTCTGGCAGATGCCAGTTGGGCTTGGAAGCTGTCTTGCCCTGGGGGGAGAAAGGTGGGACTTTTCTCAAGAGTGAAATTGAAAAAAGAGCCATTTTGCACTTACAGGGCTTACCTGCATGTGTTGGCTGTCTCTGTCTAATACAGGGTTATCTTAGAACTATGCAAGAAGGTTGACTTGCTGCAGCAGGCTTGTGTGTGTATGTGCGCTTCTGAGTCTTAATGTCTTTTGCCTAACAAAATACTAAGATCTAGTGCCCTAAATAAATGTGAGTTTGTAATGAAAGAGAGGACTAAGTCATTATCTTCTCCTCACCATCCTACTGTATTAAACGGTAGTACGGGCCTCCAGTTACTGTTCTATGTATAATGGATCTTCTGTGAGAGAGTATTGTTGGGTACTTGGTTGCTGCTAAGTTTTGTTTAAAAACAAATCTTTGTGAGGGATTGATAATTTTTTTTTAAAAAAAAGCTCTGTGTACAAAATTATTTTGAAGAATAAGGTTTCTGACTGGAGCATAAGGATCTGAGCTACAAGTGAGCGTTGTGTGGTAAGATTGACAAAACTAATGACTTGCAGAAGATAACTGCATTGATTGCCTTTTGCAAGGCTGGAGCAGGCTTAAAATACCCCAAAGAGACTCAGCGTGTCCCTTAAGTCCAGAGAAGAACAAGATTCAGTTGTACTTAAAAGGTATTTGTGACTCTTGTTTCAACTGTGGAGTATGCCTAGTAGTTGAACTGAGCTGCCATCTTTATATGTAGGAATCAAAACGGCTTTTGTCAGAAAACAGAGTGACACGGCATTCATAGCAGCTCACTGTGAAATGATCCCAATTGAATGGGTGTGCAGAAGAATTGCTACTGGCTCCTTCCTGAAAAGAAACCCTGGTGTCAAAGAGGGATATAAGTTTTACCCACCCAAAATTGAGATGTTCTACAAGGTAAGTTTCCTTTCCTGTGATGTTAATCAAACAGAGCTAGAAGTCTGTATTATTTCCTTTAAAATTCTGACAAATAAAACAAGTAGCATTAGTGGCTGACCAATTCTCTTAGTATTGGTAGTTTTTCCATCCTACTATTTTATTGCTATTTTGTCTAAAGTGCATGCAATGTAATCCTGGCTTACAGAGCCATCAAAAAATAACAAGCCAAACTGGATGTAAAAAAAAAAAAAAGTTTTATTTATAAGCTATAGACCAATGCATTGATATATTTGAAGAAATTAAAATAAACAATTCTTGGAAGGTGAGACTAAGTAGCTAGGTAGTTACTTAGGATTCTGAACTTCTTTGGGAACGCATGCTGAAAGAAGTGTATTGTGAACCTAAAGTGTTGCTTGTAGTGTACCCTGGCACTCTTGGGGCACTGTCCAAACTTGAAGTGTTTTTAGAGATGTTCAGGTGTCACAAGAAATGTTTTCAATTTTGCTGTCATTTTTTTCTAGTGCTAATCATAAAATACTAGTTTGATGCTTTTATTTGTTTTTTGAAAATCCCAAAATCTAGTATTATCTTTTAATCGTTATTTGTCCTTGTATAGCAAGCTTAAACTACATGATATCTATGTTTTGATGATTTTTTTTTTTTTTAACAGGATGATGCTAACAATGATCCACAGTGGTCTGAGGAGCAGCTAATTGAAGCAAAATTCTGTTTTGCTGGACTTACTATTGGCCAGACTGAAGTGGATATTATGGCTCGTTCTACTCAAGCTATTTTTGAGATATTGGAAAAATCATGGCAGCCCCAAAACTGCACTCTGGTAGACCTGAAGGTATAAGAATCTGATTTCTTGCAATCCTTGTTCTGACAGGAAATATATCACTGTATAGTTCCTAAAACAGGATTCTAACTTTTTTTTTTAGATTGAATTTGGTGTTAATATTCTGACAAAAGAAATTGTTCTTGCTGACGTTATTGATAATGATTCATGGAGACTGTGGCCATCAGGAGACAGAAGCCAGCAGAAGGACAAACAGGTAGTGTTTTAATCTTTACCTTCTAAGTCAGTTGGGAAGGAGAATGGAAAAAAGTAAACCCTCCAGTTAAACATCTGCTTTCAGACTGGGTTTTTCTAGATAGTCTTATCTTGGTATAGAGTAGCTCATAGGGTAGCTAATGTCCAATCCTGTTGTCATTCAATAGCTGATTATCTGGTTTATGGTAGGAAAAAATCCTGCCGGTATATCTTCAATAGGAATGCCCAACGGTGCTATCGACTGGAGCTCTTTTAATGAAACATGGAGCTTTGGGGGTAATAAGAATTTCTGACTCATTGTGCAGATAATATAATAGTTGGACAAAAAGTTGATAGAAGAATAAAAGCTCTGGTTCCCACGCCTGCCTCCAAGTTTGTTTATTTAGTGTGGTATCCTTTTACTAGTAGGAATCTGGTGATACATACATAAGAGGGATCTGCAGGGAGGATGCTTTCCTTCATTATTGATTTTGGTTAAGCTTTAATTCAATATTCAGTTGTCTCTAAGTGTTATTAACAGAGTGTGTCCACATGGCTTCAAACAGAAGCTTGAAATAACTTGTCCCATATTTAAACTTGTAGCAATTACACTTGTCAAATATCTCTGAATTACCAGATAAGTAGTAATGAAAGAACTGGCTTGGGAGTGCTGCTGCCATGGAGCTTCTGTGACAGCTGTTGAGACTGGTAACAGATCCTGTGAGAGAAAGTGACTGGAAGCCACAGGGGAAGATTAAAAGTGTGTGTGGAGGAGGAGGGGTATTACTTGTAAATTAGGAAGCAGAACTGCTCTATTGTTTACTTTGCCTGAATTCCGTAGTAGCATGCTTAAGCAAAAAAGCACTGTCAGAGCAATTCACTCATCTCCCTAACATAAGGTACATGGTAACATCATGCAGAACCTATAGGTGGCGACTGCAGTGCTACTGCAGGCAATCATGTAATTACAAATCCAGTTTTTAAAGTTTTATGTTTCTCCTTAAATTGACCCTTTGAAAAGCTTCCAAAACCTTGATACCCTTGTGGTTAAAAGGCTTTCATGTTGCAAATGGCCATGAATTGTAGTGTAGAAGGTTGTTCACAGCTACTGAGCTGATTCTTCATTAAATAGCTCTTGCTTGCTTCCATATCCAGTCTATGTTGTATTGGTACCAATCTCTCTTCTCCTGTAGAATTACTACAAACTACATAAATATTTCAGCTGAGGTATTCTTATCAATTATGGTAGCAAAATGAGTGCTTTGTGTACCTGAAACGCACATTAACTTCAGTTTTGATTTTTTTTTCCTCTTTTCAGTCCTACCGTGACCTGAAAGAAGTGACTCCTGAAGCACTGCAAATGGTTAAGAGAAACTTTGAATGGGTTGCAGAAAGAGTGGAGGTATCTAGATATGTTGTTCATAAACAGACTTCAGTAACTGCATGTCTTCAGTCCAGTTGACTGCTTTCTTTTTCTCTTGCCCCCCTTCATTCTTTTACCTAGTTGCTTCTGAAAACAAAGAGCCAAGGCAGAGTGGTGGTGTTAATGGGATCTCCTTCTGACCTCAGTCACTGTGAAAAAATAAAAAAGGCATGTGCAACCTTTGGAATTCCTTGTGAGTTAAGAGTGACCTCTGCTCACAAAGGGCCAGATGAAACCCTGAGGATCAAATCGGAATATGAAGGTAAATGCCAAAGAACTACTCTTCTGGATTGAAACAGTATTATGTTCAAGAATTACTTGGCAACTTAAGGACTTATTTGGGGGGTTTTGTTAAATAGAACAGTAAGCTGTTACAATGCTTTTCTACACTTGGTAATTACATAATGACAGGTTATAGACTGCACTAAGCAATTGGAGTACTGTATTGTCCTACTATTGTCCTACTGCCTAGGCACAACTTGCATTACTCAAAGTCTAACTTCAGCTTTTATCCCAGTACCAGAACTACTTTGCCCAAGTGTTGATCATGTTAATACACTTACTGTAGCATCTTGCTGGTGATAGTCGCCCTTCTGAAATGGGGAGTGATAGTTTCTCTAGCTGACTCTGAATATTCTTATGTGTTATTTGCAGGGCAGGTGTTACATCATGTTTTCCTGCCTGTTTCATGAAAACAATTTGTTATTTTAGATGCCATGAGAAAAAGATACTTGGTTTAAATTCTTATCTTTACCAAGAAAACTTGACATGTCTTCAAAAATGTTTATAGCCTAGCAGAGAGGAGAGATAAGAACTATTTATTTTTGTGGGAGTACACTTTCTATTCTGTGAAACTACAGATGTGGTAACCATAGTTGAGAAACACTTAATTTTGAGGTGAACTGTGTAAGATTTAAGGAGGAGAACACATAAAGATACCAGAGGCTTAATGGCTGTGTTCTCTACAAAGCCAAGCAGTACCTAATCCTCTGATACTGAGATCTCCCCTCAAAGGCAGTGTAAGACATGCTAACTTCAGTTGTGGTAAACAGTAGCTGGGATTTAAGGCTGTAAGATTTAGAAGATATTTCTGTAAAAGGGGAAGTTAGACATGAAATTCTAGTGCTGTGTAATGGAATTGGCAAAACAACTGCAAACGGATTTGTGGGCTCTTAAAGTTCCCACAAAAACAAGTGGTAGAGAACAAGCTGGATTGCTTCATTCTGAATGTCTTCCTTCCCTTCAGGAGATGGAATCCCAACAGTGTTTGTTGCGGTAGCTGGCAGAAGCAATGGTTTGGGGCCAGTAATGTCTGGTAACACTGCTTACCCAGTTGTCAACTGTCCTCCACTCTCAGCTGACTGGGGTACTCAGGATGTGTGGTCCTCTCTCAGACTACCCAGCGGTAAGATGATCTTCAACTGACACTCTTGTTCTGACCTAGCTCTATTTTGGCTGTTGCTCTAGTGTATGTGCATATGCTAACACATACATGGCAAAACACTGGAAAAGTAGCTGAATCACTATGGAGTAAAGTCTTTAGAAATGTCTTGCATAGAGTCTTTGACTTTTTGATGGCAAAAAGCCCATTAGACAGAGCAAGTATTACATGGGAATAATCTTTAGAAAAATATAAACCTTGGCTAATCCTTGCTAAACATTCCAGTTTAAAATTGGAGTTAGTATTGATGGAGATATAAGTAACTGAATCTTGTTCAGTTAGAGCTGCAGTTTCTTTATGATCAAAGATCAAAAGATATCTTTCTCCACAATCAGTGGTAGGCAAAACCTACATGGCTACCTGTATGACTTTTTTTTAAACCGTTTTAGTGACTTGAATGGATGCTTGGTGACTAGGAAGCCCAGAAGCCTGTTACCTCTGTATAAGGAGAGTGATTTGGTATGCTGGCTTTTGGTTTAAAATGCCATGAAGCTGTCATAGTAAAAGTAGTGGAACACATGATACTTCAGCAGCTTTAAAACTAGAGCATCTAGTTCCTGGAGGCTGAAACAAACTTTGTCTTAGATTGCTCTTTGGAGGCAGAGTTTTGTTTGACTCTAAAAATATGCTTTAGTAAGTGGCTCTCTTCTCTGCAGGTCTTGGCTGTCCTACTACTCTGTCCCCTGAAGGAGCTGCCCAGTTTGCTGCCCAGATATTTGGATTAAACAACCATTTGGTGTGGGCCAAACTGCGATCAAACATGTTAAACACCTGGATCTCCTTGAAGCAGGCTGACAAAAAACTTAGAGAGTGCACTTTGTAAGTCACAGTAACAAGTAACTTTTTGTTACATGAAGATAATGGCGTGCATATTCATATTAGGATTTACATTTGGATGAGCTCAAAAGTCCTGCATCCGTTCTTACAGAAGAAAGCATCGTTAAAGCAGCAGATGAAGTCTGCTGTGTCCTCATCCTTCCCTTGTGTATTTTTTTTAATATAACAACTTAGTAAAAGATGGGGAAGTAGTATTTTAGGTATCTCTTTCTGTTGCTCCAAAATGGTGCTGTTCTGCTCTTTAGTGTATACTGTTAACTACAGACTATGTCAAGAGAATGATTTGGTGCAATCTAAATAGAATTCAACTAGTCTTCTGTATTTCTGTAACAGTAATATTCTTTCATAGTAATAATGTACATCTTGGACCTTATTAACTCAACTGGACTGCTAACTAAAGCCAGTGCTGATGCTGTTCTGCTTGCAATGATGGTATGCTTTCTCTAGCAATAAAATGGCAACATATGCTGTATTAATAAGAAAAGGGGCTAGAAAAATGTTTTAAGAGCCTGAAATAAATACCTGCCTTATTTAAAAAATGTATATACATACATATGTTCTTTTTTCAATATGTGTGTGTATACATACCCCATTGATATCTTCTGGAATTATGAGATAAAGTTGACACCAATTCTCTTGTTCATAACAAGCTATAAATATAAATGGTTTGAGTGAACTGTAACTGGGCTTGTTGCCTGTTTGCTCTAACTCTTGCCTAGTCCAGTCTTTGCTCTCTTAAATACTAGGCAGATCTCTACCTTCAATAATTCTAAAGTCCCTGTGTGATGATGTCAAACTGTCTTCATACACTTCAGTAATTATAGCTATTACACTTCTATATTTCCTCACCCTTTTTCTTTGGAAATCTTACTGAACTGAAGAGTGGAATAAATGGTAAGGCAAAAAACTACTGGGGGAAAATCTAAGCATGATTGTTTTGTCTTTGCACACACCAGTCTTCTGAGTAGGTACAATTCTAAAAAAATATGCAATTATTAAATGTATGTAACATTTATGCTTTTACAATCCTAAATAAACTATTGAATTCAAAGCTGCTTCATGGAGATTTATTGATGAAGTACACCCAAACTAGCTATCAGCTGGGGTATGTAATGTCAGGATCTTAAGTTCGGTAACAATTTTGTAAGTAGCTTATACAGTAAAACCTGCATGGAATGCTATTAGGTGACAGTCTTCTAAAAACTACTGAAGTGTCTCACTGTTACAGCAAGCTGTGTTATATTGTTCCTAATATATTGCTGTGTGATTGTGTAGTAGGTTAGGCTTACCTCTTTGAGTAACTGGATTGAATGCTGCTGTTGGTCTTCACATTCATGGGAAGAGATCACATCTTACATGTAGTTGTATAGAAGAGCTCTAAAAATTGCTCTCTTCTGAAGTTAAGTGTAGGAGTCTTTAAATCATCCAAACCTTACTCTAAAGCAAAATAACTAGAACTCTTAAGTATTGAGGGTGGGTTGCTTTTTGTAATTAATTTTCTAAATGAAATAGCAGTAATTGTGAGGTTTAATGATGACAGGTTGAAATTCCTTGGTGGCATACAGCCTCTGTAGAAGCACTGAATTAAAAGTGAATATCCTCAAGGCTCCTTTTTAACAAGCTGCTTACCAAGGTTGTACTCACCTGTATATTCATGCTCTGACATCTGAAAGTGTTCTGTCAGCCAGCTCTCCCAACACAAAAGTGGCATAAACTTGAATTAGCAGAAAGATCAATGAGTGCATGCTCTGCTTGGTTGAGTGAATTGGATTGTCTTCTCTTGTAGTCGGACAAGAACCAGAGCCACCAACTGCGGAGTGCATCACTTCTTTCTCCTGGTGGCAGCAGTCTGCTAACTCAGCTGATTAACAATACATAACTAGAGGGTGAAGTTACACAAGAGGTGAAGTGTCATTTCCTATTCCCCTCCCTCCCCAACTACGCTGGGTGTTAGCTCTGATGACTAATCAACCTGACAAGATTATTAGTCACCTGCCTACCCTAGCACCATGGCAGGACAGACAACCCCAGACAGCCATTTGTGTCTCTTCCCATCCACAGTGCTGTGTTGTAGTGCTGCCTCTACAGTCTTCCCCTGTGCAATAAAAACTAAATGACAATGGTTTGAGTGTTAGACCTAGAATATTCTGTACTGTCTCTAGTTACTTTTCTCAAATTACTATTACCCTGATTATACTACCTTCATTTGTAAAATTGTGCCAGTTTACATCAGGCATGAGTATGCTGAGTGTTTCAGTTGCCATAGGGATGGTCATTCTTCAGCTTTTGGATGGGCTGGGTTGTTTGGTGGGGTTTTTTTTGTGCAGCCTCTACTGAACTCTCAGACACAAACCCTTGCCTGAGCAGTTGCCTTGCAAAGAAGTATGAAGACAGAGCAGCAAGCATTAACAGTGTGTTGCTGTGATTAGGAGATAAAACCTGCAAAGTCCCTCATGTCTGCAAGTATATAAAGAGTTGTCCTAAAGGCTGAAGTGCTGCATAGCAGTTGTTTAGCTAGAAGTTTTTCACAGAGCTTTTGTTATTAAGTGAAAATACTTTCCTTTGGCAGCATTCCAAGTATTACATTGATGCAATAACCTGAAAATTTCTTCAGCCAGAAATTGCTCTTGTAGGATTTGCTTTCTTTTGTCCAATTTTAAACAACTTTAAAAAAAAAATCTTAAAGTGCTTTTATCTTCACAAAAACTTATATAATGGGGTTACTGAAATTTTTTTGCATTTTTTAATTGATTTTTTTTTTACAGATATTCCAATTTTTAAGCACCTGCTGTGGAACCTAGGACCTTGGATTATATCATGTCCTAATTAGCAGAGTTACCTGCTTAACAGTATATGTTCTTTAAAGACATCAGCAAGGAGCAATCTAGACTTGGCAGAGGGAAGTGCAGAAGGCAGGGCCTGTTTTACATCCTACACTACTTCAGGTAGAGGTGAATTACACCTGGTATTCAGCCTTTATAACATCATTTCATGGGAAAAAAAAAAAAAAAAGCCAACCACAAAAACCCCAAACACCTATTCTGTAAAAATAAGGGGAAAACCAGTCATAGCTCCTACTGATTTGTCCTCCATCCACAGTTCCAAGGTTGAAGCACCTATCCAGGACAAAGGTATGGTTTTGATATCCTCTGCCTGTGGAGTCTTGTAAAAAATGAATTGAAAGCCTAGGAGAGGATGCGCTCTAGACTTCTTGCGGGGTGGCATTAAGGCATTCCCTGGTTTTGAAGTCTTTCTTTTTGAAAGCTATTAAAGTAAGTCATACCCAAAGAAAAATCATGACTGTTCCCTCACTAAAGCAAGTATTTGAACCTCTTCTCACAGCCTCAGTTATTTTTTTAGCAATGCAACTTAATTATGAAATAGTGTCAGAAATCTTGAGCCATGTTTTAAAATAAAATCAGAGGTGCCTGTTGCACTGTATCATCCACCACATTGCAGTAGGAATATCATACACCTTTTTAGAACACACTTCCCTCTTCAAAATTTCCAAAAGTTTACACATGAGAATGCTCAATTTCTGGGCTCACACAAAAATAAGGTGTAAAGTTTGTTTGAACAATTAAGACTTGTTCTAAGGTATGTAAAAGAGGAAAACTTTGAAACTTCATAATGGGTTGATTTAAAAGCCAAACCACAAACACTGAAGTTCCTGCAGAGCTTAAGTATCTCTAGAGTTGGGTTGCAGTCCCAGTTCCCAAATCTTTATTCCAGTTCAGATCTAAGTGTGTGCATTCAAAACTACTCAGGAGTTGCTGTGCAATGGCTATTTGAGCAAGAGGGACTTAAAGACACTTGAGCATCTGCTGTTGTGCTTTTGCAGAAGCATCTTAGATCTTGACAGGGCAGAGCAGCCTCTTACTCATTGAAGCTTCATCAGGATACACAAAGTCAATGTTCTAGCCAGGATCTCAAAGCATACCTGTTCACTCAAAACATAATATGCTCTCCACAGGTTAGAAGAGTCACCCAGGTTATAAGCAATTTAATCCTCTCTCTTCTGGGAGAAAGGGACAAAATTTAACTTTTCCCTTACTTCTCAGAAGAGTGTTTTAACCACCACAGGCATGTGGAGATCCATAGGAAGGGAAGAGCTTAACTTCCTCATCTCCTTAAATAACTGCAACAGGGGTTGGACCACAGCAACATTGCAGCTTCCTCTAGAGCTCTGAGTTTCTGCCTCGGGAATCTTGCAGCAGGCCTTAGAGAAATCCTGTTATCTTTCCTCAGCATGGGAAGATGATGGCTATGAAATATCAGTTCAGCTGGACTGGGAGCTTTCTGAAGGGCTGACTTGCTGAAGAGTATGCCCTGAGTGTAAAGAAGGGCTTAGACTTGGAGGAGACAGATTTGTTGTTCCCCGTGGAAGGTAAAATTCAGAAGTTCAAGAAGGAATTAAGATGTATTTGCATGGAACTTGGTCAAAGAATTAACTATAACAGCTTTTCTCTCTCTCCCCTCTCCTGATGACAGATGTCATCACCAGTAGGAGGATATCTTGATAGAAAAAATAGTACAGCAACAAGTTGCCAAAAGCTCAACAGATGCTTGAGAATATCAAGCACCAAGTTCAAGTCTTTTCAAGGACAGAGCTTTTCACAGAAAAACAAGTTCTTTTTCACAGGAACTCAGAGCTTCCAAGATACGTGGATTTCATCCAGCAGGGGCAGTAGGCTTCTGATAAACAGATCAGATAAATGGGCATAGGAAAGAGGATGGGCTATGACAGCCCCAACAAGTAGCCTCAGTCAGGAATAAGTTAAAGAAAACCCCAAAACAACCACCACCACCTTACAGCAGCATCAGGGAGAAGCTAGCCCACTTTGCCAAGCACCTTGTATAACTCTTCATACTGATAAAATAAAAACATTCCTAGCTGACAGACCAGAAAGCTCTTGAACACAAGGAACCAACCTCATGCAAATAGATTATATAATTAAGTAGTTTAAGATGCCAAGCTCCAGATAATTTCTATTTGGATTCGAAAGTGACTTTGTCTTAATATAGCACAGCTCCTTGTCCCCAGTTTCCCATTACATCATTTCCCTTTTCTAACACACTTAAACATCTAGTAAATGGCCAGCTTCCTAGCTAGTTCATGTTCAGTCTGCTTTAAAGTTATTTCCAATATAGGACATTCTTCCATCTTACTTGCCAAACAAAACAAAACCCCTCAACTAGAAGTATAAAGATTTCTTTACTACCTTCTAACATTCAGAACTTATGTCCTAGAGAGCCTGCCACACCCTCATAAGTATTCCTGACATCATTTGTACTATCACTCGTGAAATTATGGTTTTAAATCCATGGTAAAATTCTGTTATTGGCCTTTGCTTGTAAACACAATCAGAGCCATGAGCATCCAGGAAAGTGTAACTTCACCACAATCAAGGCTCGAAAGTCAGTGGACTCTCATTTAGCTTTGTTTTGATAAAGGCTTTAGAATAACTTACATCCTAGTTTTAAACATTTCACAGCCTTTTTTCTTTTTTTAATTGTAGAAAAGCATGTAAATGAGAGGGTGATGGACAGATTTCAGTGTGATACCAAGTGGCATGGATACTATAATCCTTAAACAGCACTCTCATGCCTACTCGCTAACTGAAACAACCAACCTTCTTCCCATTAGAAATCCAGTTGTAGATAGCCAGGTTTCTACAGTTAAAGACCATACTGAAAGAGCAATATCTCAGACTTAGTCAGGTGCAGGCCAGACAGTTGTTGTTTGTCTACTGCTCCTGAAGACCTGCTCAAAGCCAAAGTTTCAACTATTCTCACTGGGAATGGTCCCTGCACCAGCTGACAATGTCAAGTGAGCAATGCCCTGCACTGTAAGTCTTCCTTGTGCTGTTCAGAAGACTCAGTTGTGCAGATGAACTCTACCCTGTCTCACTTGTAATCAAGCCAAATGAGGCTATAGCAAAATTTCAGTATTTAGCAGATATCTACTCCTGTCT